TTCTTAATAATAAATTGTGATTTTTTTTGTTTGAAGTTATAGCTTTTTAGCCATACTGACGTTGTCTCTCGTGTTCAGGGATGTGTAGGCTAGGGAGATTATCAATGGTAAATGTGGAGTTACAGGGATAGGGTAGGGGAGTAGATCTGGGTGGGATATCTGTTTGTAGAGTCTGGTTAAGAACAATTGAGCATGACTAAGTATCCAGTGATAACAAAGCTGATTTGGTTTTTCTCACTATCCCTCTGTCATAACAATAGTCCCAGAGGAGCAGAGATCTGCTCTGTTATTAGAGATGACTCGTGGTCGTTTAACCTGAGGCTGATTGTGCCTCAGGGAAGGGGTAAAGTTGTAAAAGAAGGACCTTTATGGTGACCTCAGCTAACAGAAGAATTGAACCTCTGCTGTTGGTGTCACTCTGTATCATAAAATAGCTATCCAGCCAACTGAGCTAATTGAACTTCTCCCTTTTTTTCTGAACTATTTTAATGATCTAGAACTTGGTGTTCGGATGACACTTTCCAAGGAGTGGAGGTGCCGTTGTTGAACTGGGGTGGATAAAAGTCTGAAGTCACACGACACCAGGTTATAGTCCAACAGGTTTATTTGAAATCACAGGTTTTCGGAGCGGAGCCCCTTTGTCAGGTGAAGTCAACTGATGAAGGGGCTGAGCATCGATAGCTTGTGATTTCAAACAAACCTGTTGAGTTATAACCTGGTGTCGTATGACTTCTGATTTTGACAATTTCAACAATTGCAGATGGCACAAAATTTAGAGAATTATAAACTCTGACTCTGTGATTGGTAGTTCTAAAGACGCCTGACATTGATGGGATAACACAGTGTGGAGCTGGAGGAGCACAGCAGGCCAGATAGCATCAGAGGAGCAGGAAAGGTGACGTTTCAGGTCGGGACCCTTCTTCAGAAATGGAGGAGGAGGAAGGGAGTTCTGAAACAAATAGAGAGGAGGGGTGCAGCTGGGGAAGGTAGGTGGGATGGTGATAGGTGAGTGCAGGTAGGGAGTGGTGGGGACTGGTCAGTGAGGTAGGAGGAGTGGATAGGTGGAAGAGAAGATGGACAGGTTGTGTCAGGTCAAGGAGGTGGGGATGAGACACTGGGTTGGTCATGGGATGAGGCCAGGGGTGGGGAGATTTTGAAACTGGTAAAATCCACATTGAGACCATTGGGTTGTAGGCTCCCAAGGTAGAATATGAGGTGCTGCTCCTCCAGTTTCCAGGTGGCGTCGTTGTGATGCTGGAGGAGGCCCAGGATGGACATGTCACCCAGGGAGTGGGAGGGGGAGTTGAAATGGTTCACGACTGGAAGGTGTTGTCGTTTGTCACAAACAGAGCACAGGTGCTCTACAAAGTGGTCTCTGAGCCTCCACTTGGTCTCAAGCTAGAAGGAGTTAGAAATTAGGAAATGGATGGTGCGAAAGGCGGAGAAAGTAGTTAATAAAGCATACAGTATCCTTGGCGCTATCAATTGGGCATACTACAAAAACGATACTGAATTTACGTAAGATCCTTGCTAAGCCTCAGCTGGAGTATTTTACACATTTGTGTGTGCCACATTGTTACATTGTGCTCCTTTGGGTAAGCATTCTGTAAAACTACTTCTAGAGTAGTACCAAGTGTTAAAGATTTTTTTCAAAGCATGCCAGTACAGGTAATTCTTCTTTGACATGATAATTGCGCTCTTGTAGACACTGTGCTATAGGAAATCGCGTTATTGGGAAATCGCTATAGAAAATCACTATACCTGTACAGCAGAAAGTTTGTATTATCCACACAGTTTCCAGTATTCACCAATCGCATTACAGTCAATTCTTGTTAATGAAACACGCGTTAAAGCAGAACTATCTGACTTTCAGATCAATGTTGATAGATTTGAAGTGTTTAGGACCAGAGGACATAATTTTAGAGTAAGACCTACTTAAGACAGAAATAAGGAGGAATTTCTTATCTCAGTGAGTAGTGAGTCTGTGGAGTTCTTTACCGCAGAAGCTGCTGAGGCTAAGAATATTCAAGGCAGAGATGGAAATATTTTTAAAAAGTGAGGGAATCAATGATTATGGGACAAAGGCAGGAAAGTGGAATTGTGATTATGAGGTCAACCATGATTCTTTGAATGGCAGAGCAGACTCACTTGGTTAAATGGCCGACATCAACTCCTTATGGTCTTGTCAGGTCAATTCTCAAGCAATACCAAATTAAAGGGCTAAAAAATCTTTGCTACAAGAGGAGAAATTGCTGATTGGTTGCCAAGTGCACTCTGAATGTTAAAGTGGGCAGATTGACTGGTCCCAGTAATGATGATCATGACAACTATCATTGATTATTGTAAAATCCCTTCTGATTCAGACATGTCCTTTAGGACAGAAAATCTGTTATCCTCACCCAGTCTGGCCTACATATGACTCCAGATCGTAGTAATGTGGTTGACTTTTAACTCCTCTCTTTAAGTGGCCAAACAAGCCACTCATTCCAAGCGTAATTGCAATGCATCAAGTTGCCCAACACGTTGTCCTTTGGAATGAACCTGAATGAAATGAAATGAAATTACTGTTGCCTAATTTGCAGAGTGGAAACAAGAACAAACATCGCCGAGGCCAGGCGCCAACTCTCCGACACCTCCTCCTACAGCCCCCTTGATCATGACCCCACCCCCGATCACCAAACCATCATCTCCCAAACCATCCACAACCTCATCACCTCAGGTGACCTCCCACCCACAGCCTCCAACCTCATCATTCCCCAACCCCGCACCACCCGCTTCTATCTCCTTTTCAAAATTCACAAACCTGACTGCCCGGGTCGACCCATTGTATCTGCCTGCTCCTGCCCCACCGAACTTATCCCCACCTATCTTGACTCCATTTTCTCCCCCTTGGTCCAGGAACTCCCTACCTACGTCCGTGACACCACCCACGCCCTCCACCTCCTCCAGAACTTCCAATTCCCCAACACCTCATCTTTACCATGGACGTCCAGTCACTATACACCTGCATTCCCCATACAGATGGCCTAAAGGCCCTCCGCTTCTTCCTGTCCCTCAGGCCCGACCAGTCCCCCTCCACTGACACCCTCATCCGCTTAGCCGAACTCGTCCTCACCCTCAACAACTTCTCTTTCAATTCCTCCCACTTCCTACAGAAAAAGGGGATGGCCATGGGTACCCGCATGGGCCCAAGCTATGCCTGCCTCTTTGTAGGTTACGTGGAACAATCCCCCTTCCGTAGCTACACTGGCCCTAAACCCCACCTCTTCCTCCGTGACATTGATGACGGTATCGGCGCCGCCTCGTGCTCCCATGAGGTGCTCGAACAGTTCGTCCACTTCACCAACACCTTCCACCCCAACCTTAAGTTCACCTGGACCATCTCTAATACCTCTCTCTCCTTCCTGGACCTCTCTGTCTCCATCTCTGGCAACCACCTAGAAACCGATATCCATTTCAAGCCCACCAAATCCCATAGCGACCTAGAATACACCTCCTCCCACCCACCTTGCTCCAAAATTGTCATCCCCTATTCCCAATTCCTTCGCCTCCGCTGCATCTGCTCCCAGGATGAGGCATTCCACTCCCATACATCTCAGATGTCCTCGTTTTTCAAGGACTGCAACTTCCCCCCCTCAGTGGTTGAGAACGCCCTCGACCGTGTCTCCCGCATTTCCTGCAACTCATCCCTCACACCCCCTCCCCGCAATAACAACCAAAACAGAATCCCCCTCGTCCTCACGTACCACCCCACCAACCTCCAGATCCAATGCATCATCCTCCAACACTTCCGCCATCTGCAATCCGAGTCCACCACCGAAGACATTTTTCCCTCCCCACCCTTATCTGCTTTCCGGAGGGACCACTCTCTCTGTGACTCCCTTGTCCGTTCCACACTCCCCTCCAGCCTCACCACACCTGGCACTTTTCCCTGCAACCGCAGGAAGTGCTACACCTACCCCCATACCTCCACCCTCACCCCCATCCCAGGCCCCAAGAAGACTTTCCACATCAAGCAGATGTTCACCTGCACATCTGCTAATGTGGTATACTGCATCCGCTGTTCCCGTTGTGGCCTCCTCTACGTCAGGGAAACCAAGCGGAGGCTTGGGGACCGCTTTGCAGAACACCTACGCTCGGTTCGCACTAAACAACTGCACCTCCCAGTCGCGAACCATTTCAACTCCCCCTCCCATTCCTCAGATGACATGTCCATCCTGGGCCTCCTGCAGTGCCACAATGATGCCACCCAAAGGCTGCAGGAACAGCAACTCATATTCCGCTTGGGAACCCTGCAGCCCAATGCTATCAATGTGGACTTCACAAGCTTCAAAATCTCCCCTCCCCCTACCGCATCCCAAAACCAGCCCAGCTCGTCCTCACCTCCCTAACCTGTCCTTCCTCCCACCTATCCCCTCCTCCCACCTCAAGCCCCAACCCCATCTCCTACCTACTAACCTCATCCCGCCCCCTTGACCTGTCCGTCCTCCCTGGACTGACCTATCTCCTCCCTAACTCCCCATCTACACTCACCTTTACTGGCTCCATCCCCGCCTCGTTGACCTGTCTGTCTCCTCTCCACCTATCTTCTCCTCTATCCATCTTCTATCCGCCTCTCCCTCTCTCCCTATTTATTTCAGAACCCCCTTCCCCTCCCCGATTTCTGAAGAGGGTCTAGGCCCGAAATGTCAGCCTTCCTGCTCCTCTGATGCTGCTTGGCCTGCTGTGTTCATCCAGCTGTACACCTTGTTATCCAACGTTGCGTCTATGTTTTCTTTCTGTCTACAAGGAACAAGGCCCTCTCTAGTAATGTATCCAGCTTTTAGGACAAATTGTCTGATTAATTAGACTGGAAATAGTCTAATGAGTTCATATTATGATATATTGTATATTTATGGTCACCATCTTTAATAATTTGCAGAATTTCTTGGAAGTAATCTCTCAAAACCTTTTGTAATTCAATTTATCTATATAATTTATTTCTGATCATTTTTACGCAGAAATTCATGGATCGGAATCCCAGTCTGTATGAATTCCGATCAGAAATAGAGTTCTATGCTACTTTCCAACAAGAGATTGAGGAACTACCCTCCAGCATTATATTAGATTTTATTGAACTGGACACAGGTACGAACTAATGTTTATTTACTCTCTCAGTAGCCCATTTCTTCATTAATACAACACACAAAAAATTGTCTACGGCTCATTTATGTCTGGAAGGCAAGAAGAAAGCAAAATGTGATCTGGGCTACAACTCCTCAGGAATTACTCTCTTCTGAGACAGCTTGCAGTTTTCTAATTAGTTTTGGGATTTGGTCTTCATTAGTTATCTCTCACAACAATGCAAATGTTTGATTCTTTCCCAACTTACATTTGCTAATTTAACAATATTAACTTCGTTGTCTATCATCAAGAGTGGCTCAGCTGCAACATCCCTGATTAAATTACTTAAGCCTAAAAGCACATAGTTGCCAGATTGTGTGTGCAGCAGATACTGAATGAACCCAACAGAGGGAAAATCATACTTGACCTCAACCCTGCCAATCTGCCAGGCACAGATGCATCTGTCCATGATGGTATTCATAGGAGTGCTTATCACACACTTCTCATGGAGACAAGACTCTGTCTTCACTTTGAGTGTACTCTTAATTGTGTTTTTTAGCACAATGCCATGCTAAATGGCTTAGATTTGAACAGATCTAGCAAACTCAAAGCCTGACATCCACAAGGCATTGTGAGCCATTAGCAGCAGCAGAATTACACTCAAACATAATCTACAGTGTCACGGCCCTGCATACTTTACCATTGTCATCAAGCCACTGGATCAGCACTGGTTCAATGGCATGCCAGGATGTGTACCAGGTATACCTGAAAGTGAGGTTTCAATTTGATGAACCTTCAACACAGGACTACTTCTGTGTCGCACAGAATAAGCAGCAAATGTATTTTAAGGTGATGGTTTCAGCAGATTGGAAAACCACAAATGTAATGCCCCTATTCAAGAAAGGAAGAACCCAGGAAACAGGAAACTAAAGGGTACGTATCCATACATCTGTCAATGGGATAATGCAAGGATCCATTCTTAAGAAAGAAATAGGGTGTTTAGAAAAGCTTAACATAATCAAGCTGCGTCAATACCTTTTTGTGAAAAGGAAAACGTTTGACAAATTTTCCACAGTGCATTGAGACTACAACAAGCAGACTTGATAAAGGGGAATGGGTTAAGTTTGTGGATTTAGGTTACCAGAAGGCATTCAAATTTATGCCATATAAAGAGTTATTGCACAAACTGGAAGCTCATAGTATTGGTGGTTTTGTCATAGCATGGATTCAGGATTAATTAATGTAAAGACGATGGAGAGCTGGGATTCATGGGTCTTTTTCAAGCTGAACGGACATAACTCATGATGTGTACAAGGTTCATTTCTAGGGCCTCAGTTCGTTATTATCCACACTAATAACTTGGAGGGTGGGGCAGCAATATATAGTGTGTGCAAATTTGATGTTGATACACAAATAGGTGGGAAACATGTGATGTGGACTTAAAGAATCTATAAGTGAACATAAATTGATTGAGGGAGTAGAGAAAAACTTGCTTGATGGAATTTAATGTAGGAAGGTTTGAGGTCATTGCACTTTGCGGGGAGGAAGAATCAATTGGCAGTCTATTAGTTAAGCGCAGAGAGACTCAAAAAATTGCCACGTGGAGGGATCTGGGTGTTCTTATGTATGAAACACAAAATATTAACATACATGTGCAGTAAGTAAGCAAGAAGGCAACTGGAAATTTTCCCTTTATTGTCAGGGGATTGGAGTTTAAAAATAGGGATATCTCATTACAATGGTGCAGGGTGTTGGTGAGACCACACCTGGAGAACTCTGCACAGTTTTGGTACCCATATTTAACTGGAAGCAATTCAAAAGAGATTCGGTAGATAAGAGGAAAATACGGTGGATGCTGGAAATCTGAAATAAATTTTGGAACGAAAACTGAAATTGTTGGAGAAACTCAACAGGTCTGACAGCATATTTGGAGATAGAAATAGGATTAATGTGTTGAGTCCTATGTGACATTTCTTCAGATCTGAAGATTCACTAGGCTATTTCTTGACCAGCTAATTGGTTTAGGACTTATTCCTTAGAGTTTAGAAGAATGAGGTTGATCTTATTGAACCATACAAGATTCACATAGGGTTGACAAGGTAAATGGTGAGAAAATGTTTTGACTAGCAAAGGACTTTGGATTAATGTGCATAGTTACAGGATAAGGGAATAGTCATTTAAAGCTGAGATGTGACAGAATTTCTTAAGTAGTGAATTTATGGAATTCTCTACCCCGCCCTCCTACACACACACAAACACACACACACACACACACCTTCAGAGCAGTGTGAAGCGGTTAACCAGAGTTCCTAAGTCATTACCCAGAGAGTTTAGGGGAAGAACTTTCCAGACTCTGACTGGGTTGGGGAGTCATTTGAGAGAGGAGCATATATTAAGCTCTGAGAATTGAGAAGTCACATGATGGAATAATACGTGCATTCCTCAGAAAAGGTACTAATGAAATGAAATTATTTTTAATTAATGAATCATTTTTAGTCCAAGGCTGGAGTGTTGAGATATATTGGTGGAAAGCAATTTACTGAAAAGAATTCACATTTGAATAGTTCCTAACAAACAATGAAAACTAGATTTGACAATAAGGTTAACATTCAAAATTGTGTTCCTGTGGACAAGGGATTAGTGTGATGATCTGCCTGTGGTGAACCATTAAAAGCAATGTTCACTGACTTCATCAAATCAAAAAGAAAGTCAATGATTTCAATTATATGGTGAGTGCTCCAGACAGGAGGGAATCAGCACGTACAGTAACATTTTAAAAAGATATTATGACAAGGTGACTGTTAGGAGAAAACAATGCTGCTGGTAGTGAAAGGACAGAGTGAAAAAGAAGATGAGAGTAATTTGAGAATAAAACAGAAATTGAAAATTCAAAAGTTGCCTCTCCAAAATCAGATTGGAAAGCATGGAAGTACTTAAAAGATTACTTAGCATTATGCTTTTTTTTACAAAGGCTATTACAGAATCATTAATCAATTTGAGGAAGTGAGCCAGGAAAAATTTCTTTAGTTGTTCATGCTGTTAATTGGGGAATGCATGACTCATAACCCAGGAAACAGCACCATCACAAACTAAATCTAGAAAGTAAACTCAACTCAAAGGAAGAAGTTAAACTCATAATGGAGGTTACATTGAACCTAGCCACAGGAGCTGGAGCTCATCTATTGTGATCGTGCTAAAACCATGTAGAACAAAACAACATAATAAATAGGAGCAAGAGAACGCCATTCAGCTGATTCCTGTCCCACAATCCTATAAGCAGGTGGCTGACCTGCTGCAGGCCTCAATTCCTTTGCTGTGCCAGTTTCTTTTAACCCTAAACTTCTTGATTTCAAAAGGCCATCTATTTTGATTATAATCTCATGGCTTCACTTTGTGGGGGATTGCCAAATTGATGTTAATACTGGATAAATCAGGACCATATATGAGCAGAATTAGATCATTCGGCCCATTGAGTCTTGTTTCTCAATGCCATCCTGCTGCCTTCTTCACATAACCCTTGATCCCTTTACTAATCAATTTTTCTCAAGTGTACTCAATGACTTGGCCTCTATAGCCTTCTGCAACAATGAGTTCCGCAGATTTGCCACGCTTTGGGTGAAGAAATTCCTCCTCATCTCTGTTCTAGAGTATCTGGCTAGATTAATCTAAATTTAATTATGAATTTTTGTTATCAAAACACAAGGACACAGCGGTACAGACTTTGTTTTTAACAATACTACAAAATGTTACAATATGGAGACAGATAGCCAAACCAAATCAGCCATATCAAATCTCTGTGTTTACAACACTATAAAATTCAAACCTTCAAAGATCCCAATGGTCCCTAACCAGACTTTTGAATAATCAATCTCAGACTCTATAAGTGATCAATTCCAGACACCAGTTTGTACTTTAAACAAAAGACTTAGCAATTTATTAACAATACAATAACTTCAGCACAGCAAAGATTAAACATCAAAGTAATCTAACTGTCAATGCTATAAATCCCAAAACTTTTATTTTCAGCCCCATTCACACAAAAGCCAGACAGACAGACAAACACAATTAAGGATTAAATATAAGAAAATAACAAAACTGGCCCAATTACTTAAGTGATTTCTACAGTTTGCTGTCCACAGGCATAGATGATATTTTCTTGGGTTGATTTTTTGCTGGTCTTGTCCTAAAGGACTTTGCTGCTAGACTGTGTCAGTGGCAGGTGGTGAGGATACCAAAGAGAGAAAATAAAATCATAATTGATCTCATCTTCATTAAACTACTTGCCACCGATATATCTGTTCATGACAGTATCAGTAAGAGTGACAACCGCACAGTGTTTGTGGAGGTGAAGTCCTGCCTTCACTTTGAGAATCCCCTCCATCACATTGTGTTGCACTATCACTGAGCAAAATGAGATAGACTTTGAACAGATCTAGCAAGTCAAGAGTGGGCATCCATGAGGCATGTGGGCCATCAGCAGCAATAGAATCATACTGCAACACAATCTTTAATCTTATGGCCCAGCATATCCCCCAGCCTAACATTAGAATCAAGCCAGAGAATCAGTTCTGGTCCAATGGAGAGTCCAGGAGTAGCAAAGGTATTCCTAAAAGAATGGGTTATCAACCAGGTGAAGCTGCAAAACAGGACTAATTGTGTGCCAAACAGTATAAGTCCACTAAGTGATAGGCAGAACGAAACAATCCCACGAACAACACATCAGATCTAAGCTCCAAGTTAAAATGCAGGAAGACCTGGATAATACCCGAGCATGGGCTGACAAGTGACAAGTAACATTTGCACCTCACTAATGCTAGGCAATAACCAACTGCAATAAGCGATAATCTAAGCACCACCTCTTGGCATTCAGCAGCATTTCCATCACTGAATTCCCCACTGTCAATATCTTGAGCATTACCATTGGCCATAAATTGAACTAGACTCACACACAAATACAGTGGTTACAAGAGCAGGTTAGAGACTAAGAATCCTGCAATGACTAATTTCCCAAAGCCTGTCCACCATCCATAAGGCAGAAGTCAGGAGTGTAAGGGAATACTCATCACTTACCTGGATGAATGGAGCTCCAACATTACTCAAAAAGCTTGACACCATCTTGGACAAAGCAGCCCGCTTAATGAGCATCACATGCACAAACAGTCACTCCATCACTAATGCTCAGTAGTAGCAATGTGTACTATCTATAAGACGCACTGCAAAAATTTACCAAAGATCCTTAGACAGCATTTTCCAAACTTACAACCTCTTCAACGTAGAAAGACATGGGCAGCAGATTCATTGGGACTTCAAGTTCCTTTCCAAGCCACTCACTGCCTTAGCTTTGAAATATATAGTGTCATTGGATGAAAATTCTGGAATTCCCTGCTTATATACATTTTGGATCTATCTACATCATATGCACTGCAGTGGTATAAGAAGACAGCTCACCAGCACCTTCTCAAGGGCAACTAGAGATGAGCAATGAACGCTGGCCAAGCCAGCCGTGCCTGTATCCCATGATTGACTAAAAAAAATGCAAAATAAGAATTTGCACTTTTAAAATAGAGGTAATGAGGAATTTCTTATCAGATGGTTATGAATCTGTGGAATCCTTTACCTCAGAGGGTCATAAGTGTATTTGAGGCTGAGAAAGATCGATGTTTAATCAGCAAGGGGAGAAACTGTTCTGGGGTAAAGGCGGGAAAGTGGAGTTGAGGATTATTAGGTCAGTCATGATCTCATTGAATGATGGAGAAAACTTGATAGGCTGAATGGCCTACTCCTATCTTTTATCTCTGCCTTCTAAACATGATTAAAAGAGCTCTCACCATCTTAGCGATGTTTCCAACACTGCATATTCTGGTAGGTTATTGTGAAGATCAGCAGAGAATGTAATTCAGGTACAACTGATGGGAGCATTGCCAATACAATTTTTGGTCAATATTTGATGTTTTGTGTACTAAATAACCAGCATTGGAATTGAATTTTCTTTAATTGGATCTGTTCTGCTTTCCTTAGAACCCATGAGAATGGCCCTATTGGTGGAGGTCAAAAGTTGGATAATGTTACTTTGTCGGTTCTTGAATGAACAATACAAAGAAAAAATGTCAGCGATATCAACATTTGTCAGTGAACAAATGAAAAATTTGGCACGACCTATTCAGGATTTGGATGATGTTAGGTTTGCAATGGAATCTTTAGCAGAAATACGAAGAAATGAGATACAGATGGATATGACTTTAGGACCAATTGAGGTATGTGTCCTTTTTCAGTCACAGTGTATCTGTTTCATATTTTTGAACTTTTTCTTTTCCCTATTGTTTTCAAGATTTTAGAAACCAAACTAGACCTCATCTAATGATACTCCTTAATTTACTTTATCTTTTCTGCTATCTTAGTGGTATCTTTCATTGTATACATTGATTTGAAATGATGTTTTCTAACATTCACATAAAGTAGCATAAAACTTGAGTACTACTGAACAAGAGACATGCTGCTGAAATTTTTTAATCTTGTGCTCATCAGGAAATATTTCTAAGAATACCAAATCTCAAAGGGAGAGGCAATTTACACTGCATGAGAATTGGGTGCTGATTGATTGGCAAGTGCATTCTGAATTGAGACAACAGCACACGTAAATTTCAGTTACTCTCTTAGCTTTAACCTGGGTTTGAGACTTTCTTTGAAGAGGTGAACTGTTGTTGTTATGTAAAATGACTTGTTTACTGTGCTGTTCAGACACCCTAAATTTTAACCTTTCACTGCCTAGTTCCATTATCCATGTACCTGATTAAGGAATTTTTACATTTTGGTTTTCAACATGACAGTTTGTAGTACAGTATTTTCATTTTACCATTGGGTATCCAGACTTACATCATTCACCTCACTCTGACTGAACTTTACATCAAACCAATTTTACTTATACGTTGGACAAAATGGTATAGGGGTCTGAGTCACATGGACAATGGCGGGATGTGAGCAGAATGGGGCAAAAAGTGCAGCGAGATCCATCTCAGCATCAAGGTTATCACTCTCCATCTTGTATAGTTTTCACAAGTCGCTGGCAATATTTTTATTGTACGATGGGAAGATGTCAATTCACCAGGATTAATGTTTGTTATACAAATCACCTCATTAATGTTAAGACTCCCATTTTACCAAACAATCTTGACTTTGGTTTCCTTGACAAGTTGTCCCAGAGTGAGCACTTGGTACATGCAGTTTACCGCTTACTCAGAGCAGACATCACAGTCAGTCCTGCTGTAACACATGTTCCGTCAACGCGAATTGGCTGTAACGTGATTGACGAATATGGGAATGCAATTTCTAAAACGCAAACTTGTCTTGGCTATAACGCTATTCCATCAGTATATGGAGGAGTACGCTTCCACATCACATGATTGTTTCACGGGCTTTGTCATTAATACATAGAATGTTAGCACTGAAAGAGTCTCCATGCCAGCATCACCTGATCATTTCACGGGCTTTGTCATGAATTGCTTTCTGTAAAAGGTACAGTACAACCTCATTCCCGATCAAGTCACCTTAACATTTTTTCAAGGTACAGTATAAAGTCTACTTTTATTTCATTACTAGATATGAATTAAACATTTATTCAAATTGTGCTATCATTTGTGTTAGGCTTTTGAGTGATTCTTGAGCTATTTTGAGTGATTTTTTTAATCTGCCCCTAACCCCATTTTTCCCATGGGCCCTGTCATTTCTATAGTGTGATTTTCTATCATGCGATGTTGCACAGGAACACAACTATCGCATTATAGCAGAACCGACTTTTGGAAACCAGGCAGCAACATCTCAGGGCATGCTTGTGGGCACTGGCCACACACTGGCCACACACACCCCATGTCCATGAACATAAAATCTGGCACATTAGATAACAAAGCACCAGAGGGTCCACCAGAAGCTAACATCACAAAGCTACTTCAAGAGAAGATGGTGGAACTACACTGAAGGAATAGAGAAGGACATTTACATTCTGTAAATACCATACTGTTTTAACCCAGGAGACAACCTTGGCACAGTCTGGTATCAAGGTCTCCACTATTGATGCTGTGGAAATAGGATGCCCACACTGGCACCATCTCATCCAGTAGGACCTTCAGCATCCAGTTTACAAAGTGGTGTGCCAATTTCCCTGTGTTTGCCACATCTGGGGCAAATATCACCAACCATGCAGGGCAGCTCTGGACTGACAGTGCTTTCCAGGTGCAAATCATGCTTTTAAAGGTAGAATGACGCAAGGTATGCTAGTTCCAGGATATCCGCCGAGCGGCAAGTTGTTCTGGGATAGAATTCGGACGTAAGAGATTCCAGGTAGGTAATTCATGAGGAGAGTTATTATTAGCAAGAGGGCTCACATAGCCTCATAAGTGACAAACTCTCAAATCATCAACATAACTTGGATTTACTCAATAAAAATTATGAATCAGCCCATCGTCTCTTAAGCCTCTTTTGTGACACAGTGAGAGCAGCCCTACTCCTGAAACAAGAAGTCCACCTGTTCCAAAGTTGTGTAATAACATCTCTGAACAGGTTAATTAGAAAAACAGGTGAAAAATAGAACTTACTTTGAAGATGTTTTTAATTAACGATCTGAATAGCTCTTGGCTCTTTATGGCTCAGTATTAAATTTGTCTACCAATCATCTGAGCACCCTGGAATATTTTTGCTATGTTAAAGACACTATGCAATTGCGAGTTATTACTATTGCAACTGTTGAATGAGCATTCCATATACAAGCTGCTAAATGCTTTCGTTACTCTAATGAGCATTTGGTGACCTGGGATGAAGATAAATGAACAGGTTTTGAAGAACATTAAAGAGAAATGCAAGAAATACTGATGGGAACTTCAATTATCCTGATATAGATTGGCATACTAATAACGTAATGAAAAAATAGAAGGGGTGGGTGGAATTCTGAAACGCATGCAGAGAACTTTCAGGATTCAGAAGCAGTGCTGAACCTAATTCTGGGGAATGAAATCAGTTGAATATTTTTCTCTAAAGTAGCATTTAGGAATAATGTAGTGAACATATTATCAACAGGTTTAGGATTGTTATGGAAACAAACAAGGTGACTCATGCACAGAAATATTTCTTAGGAGGAGAATTTGCACTAGAGTGCTGTTCAATTGCATTAGAGTGTTACTGGAGTTTGCTGAAACAGGGAGTAGGTGAAACAGGGAGCATGTGTTCATTTCTTAAAAACCATACTAACCCTAAGACATAGGAGTAGAAGGTGGACATTCTGTCCATTGAGTCTATTTCGCCTTTCACTAAGATCATGGTTTTCTTGCCGTTAACTAGGTGATAACTAAAAGAATGTTAAGGACAATTTTCAACTTTGAGAAGCCGAAAGAACTGCAGATGCTGTAAATCAGGAACTAAAACAGAAGTTGCTGGAAAAGCTCAGTAGACCTGCCAGACCTGCTGAGCTTTTCTAGCAACTTCTGTTTTAGTTCCATTTTAACGTTGAGACTTTGCATATAGACCTTGCATAATTCTTTCCCATTCTCTGCAGTGTTACTCCATGCTCACTCAGTTGGGTTTCCTGAGTTGTCACATTACATTAAGAAATATAGATTTATGATATCATTGAAGGCTCTGGTTCTGAAGTAAATGCATCAATTTTCCCAACAGTACAAAGGGACTGAGAAATCTATACCAAGGTACACATATACCTCGATCTGTGACAATATTGAAAAAAGTGGGAGAAGGAAAGACATTTTAGAGGAGTAAAATGTTGCATTGTAATAATATGGCGGGTATTGTCTTTCGTCCCTGTAGTATGGTAAATAAACAAATAAATTTATTTTGTGAAACCTGTCTCCCTGGGCTTGCTTAAATGTAATAATGTGGTACAACGGGACACAGGCTTAACATGTTACAACAAAGAAGTAGAGATGGGGGAGAGTGGGCACTTGTCTTCATTGAGATGTAGGGACAATAAAGGGGGTGATGTGGGAGATGAGGTGCTACTAGTGAACAATCTATAAATGTGAGGGTGAATCCTTTCTCAACCACAACTAGAATATCACCTGATTGTCATAAGACTGTAAAAGCTGAGTGTAATTGCACAATAGAGGGCTGTAATACATGAAGCTCACACCTCATATACAAGACTTGACAGAACTGAAATATGATTCACATGAAAGAATGGCCTAAAGAAACAATCCTTTTCAACCTGTCACTGCCTATGTCTGTCAGTGTGCCTCAAATCAGTGGATTGAATTTTCATTTTCATTCAGTACGGTGATGTGAAATCTGAAATGAAAGGGTTTAGGTTTACAATAATGGTCAGAAAGAACGTATTGTCTTCAGAATGAGTGTAGCTTTATTTCTTGCTGCATGGTAAGTTCTAGTTGGATGGAGGCTCTGAGACAGTAAAAGGTTCCATAATGGTCATGGTGAGGCTATACAGAGATAGGGAGGAATTTGAAAAGCAGGGTGAAAATTATAAAATTGAACTGTTGCTTAACTGAATGCCAATGTAAGACAGTGAGCATGGGGTACTGATGGGTAAACAAGACTTCTGAGTTAAGTCATTGGCTGCAGGATGAGCTAAAGCATATGGCGATAGGAAGGTGAAAGGCCACTCAGAAGTGCTTTGGATTCAGTCTAAAGGTAACAGAGACATGGACGATGGTTTCAGCAACAGATAAGCCTGAGGCAGGAGCAGGGTCAAGGAATGTTGTTTTGGTGAACTACACAGTCTTGGTAAGCTTTGTTCCTTTGTGTCAGCCCTAGATGGCACAGAGAAGCAGAAATAACATGATCTCCTTTTCTCTGATCAGTGAGCCCCTCTGCTCTTTAACACAAATGTAAGGTCTTAGGGAATTTGGGGCATAAGGGGAAAGAGTACTTACAATGCAGAGCACCAGAGGTCAGACAGCGAACGAATCTGGTAAGGTGGAGATGAGCAAAGCAGCAGGAAAATTTTCAAAGAAGCAGCGCAGCATCACCTTCACTAAATCCAGAGGCAGAGCTCCTGAGGTAATATCAGGATTGCATAGTGACATGGGCAAATTGAAGCTGCTGAGTGGGTGAGTACAGATGGCAAGTATTTGTACAACTATTATTGCTTATAATTTGTAAAATTCTAATTTTGTAGTACATAGTTTGTAATTCTATTTTAACAAGGTCAAGGGAAGAAGGGCCCTAAATTAATTAATATTATTTGATTTTAAGAGCCCTTTAAAGGTTTAATCTAAATTGGTAAGTCATGGCAGGAGAG